CCGTGTATGTTGCCGTGCGATTCTGTGCTGAGTGCGGGTCGTTGTTGATGGAGCGAGCACCGTACAGGCTGCGTGTCATTTTAATGGAGTTCCGTCTCATGCTGAGAAAGGGGATGCTGAGCAGGCGGACACAAGTGTCGATTAGGAGGCTTTTGGGGGCGGCTAGGGGAAACAGGTTCAGGAGGTACTCGAAGGGGTTGGACCTTGTTGAGGATGGGGAAGGAGTTACTCACGAGGTGTCCTTGCTGCACGACATTCGGGCCGAGTCGAGCCTCGACAGCTTTCAGCCGGGCCCTGCATTCGATGAGTGTGAATTGTTTGGTCGAATGAAGATCGAGGATGGAGATGCTGATGATAGTGGTGATGGCTCTGCTCCGGATTATGATAGCTATGAGTGAATATAAGATGTTCTATTCATGAATTTTTCAAAATTTTCATATGTACAATCCCTAATTTTCCACCATCTTCTGGCACCCCACTCCATTAATTCCAATCTTCGAATTTCCTAGTCAAAGAAACAATTTGTCCAAAAGTGGCTGAGATCTCTTTGGATAAATATTCAGCTCATTTGTCTGTCCACACGAGCTTTTACTAAATGAAATTCATGATGCTCATTCTGTATCGTATTTGATACGTTTTTACTAGTTTGACGATCTCGTTTTCTAAAGAATGTTGTTATCGATGGGGTTCTTCTTTCGTTGGCCAAAGGTTGATGCTCCATGTGAATTTCTAGAAATTCCACAATACAAATAAATTGATTTTCCATATGACATAGTTATTAGCAAATAGAAATTCTTAAACATCATAACTTTAAATCCAATTATGATATACAAGAACCACACTAGAGGATAAGAAATGAAGAAAAAAAAAAAAAAAAGAGACAAACAATTACTACTTTATACACACAATCAACAAAACGAGAATTGCAACCAAATGATCGTAGCAATTACTATTAAAACTCAAAATAGGGCAACTAAAATGAAAAGATAAGTAAAGACAATTCAACAAATGTAACAAATATCCAATACGGGATTTAAAAATATAACTGGCTATTAAAGAAGAAATTAAACCGTGCCTTAAAAAATAATCTCTTTCTTGTTGATTTTTTTTTCTTTTTTTTTTTATTTGTTCTTCTAAATTTATTATTCTTGTATTCAGAGAAGGGACACGATCGCAATTCATTTCTTTGATTAGTTGTATAGTGGTATTTTGTGGGTAAGTGTCTAATAAAAAAGGGTGAGCCAACAATATCTAATATTTTATCACAGTGATATTTGTAGTCTTTGGACTTTAATAGTAATTAATTATTTTGATGGATTAGTTCACCAAAATTCAATCTATCATCTATATTTTCTTTTATCTTTGTACAAATTTGATTGATATGTTTTTGTTTTCGAATTTTGATGTCAGCAGGTACACGATTGATTATCACTAAGCTCAACAGTCAAATCCTCGAATACAATATTTTAACCGGCGGTAGAGCTGGTGATAAAGTTCTTAGTCCTAAGCTCACAATCATACTGTCCGATTTGAGAGTACTGTTCAAGTTTCAGGGCAAACAATTTTCGCTCATGGTTTCCTATGCTAAGACTATCAACAAAAGTCGAGGCAAGTCACTGTCCACGAAACAGAAGAGTTTGAAAATAATGATTTGTGGTGATGAAGATTGTGACGATAAAAAAAAACACGAACGTCGTATACCAAAAATATTTCATAATATTTAGATTTTCGTGTTCTATTTTTTTTTTTTCGACGATGATGTTTATATAGCTTTTCCCTGCGCAAATGCACGGGTCAAAAACTAAACTAGTTATATAAATAATGTCATGCGGTTAGTGAAATAAAAATAGAAAATAAATTCTACTCTCCAACGACTTCTACATCTGACTTTTATGATGCCCAACGTTGTAAAAACTCGAATACCTTGCATTCTCCCTCGTTCGGGAGAACCCATGTTTTTTATTTCGGATTGCTGAGGTTTTCGATCATATTTTTTCACTCAAAACCATTCAGGTAAAGGAACCCACTGTTCTTTTCATTTTCCTTTTAATTCAATTGTATCCTTTTCAAGAGAGTGTAGATTTTTGTGACTTACTTTGTCATTTCTCTGTGAGTGGTTGGAATTTACTTCTTGTTGGGTCGTCTCATCGATTCGTAATTGCTGAACTTTGATTCTTGCTGTGATTGATTTCTGGGTCTGTTTGTGCAATTTCTGATCACTTAATATTGTTCATGTTTATTGTTAGTTCAGTTTGTTTAATTACTTAGAAAGGGTGTATTAGTAGTGTAATGGGTTCATGTGATAGCGGTTTTTTATACCCAGTTCTGTTGCCAAACTTTTCTGAGGTTCCTGGCTTTGTTTTTGATAGGTGAAATTTGGAACTGAATGGATCTTGCTTCGACTTCCCGTCGTTTGTATCTCTTTCATGTATAGTGAAATTCATTTTAGTGATCACATATGTGTCGATTTTTGCTTTTTCTTTTGTAGGGGGTACGGAGTGTTTCCAGGTTACGATATGATTACAATTTATTACTTGGTGATTTAATGAAGTTTTATGAATTGGTTAAAATAAAAATGAAGTTGAGTGGTTTGAGTGTTGTACCCCAAAGCATCTCGTCTGGATTGACTAGTTCTTGTGTCGAAGATTATGAGGGATTGCGAGATGATGTTCATATAGTTGTTTCTTTATGATTTCTTTTTATTCTTTTAATATTTCTGGGAGAATGGATGCTTATGTTTGGTTGAGAAATGTTATGAATGTAGCTATCCTTTGTGGTTCAGGCTTTCCTGTCAGTACTGTAATTGAGAATCTTAGTTAACCGCGGATGTTCTGACTTGAATGCACCAAATTTTTGTCCCCTTTTTGGGTTTCCATCCAAAAGTCAATGTCTTCTGCTAATAGTTCTGCTAATGGCCCAAATGAAGTTGAGATTCGGGGACAAAGCTTCGACTCTGCAAGCAGGTAACTTATTGATCAAATTTTTTCAAGGATGGTGAGATGAAGGTGTAACTACGGATGAAACATCTTCAAGTTAATATTCATATTTGCCCACAGGCACAACCTAGAATCAACATCTGTATCAAAAGATGTGAAGGGAAAAGAGAATCTCGTCAGCTCTCAAGATCAAGAAACCATGGTATTGATATTTGCCCAGAAAATAGGTATTGGTATTGTTGTAAAGCATACTTGAGAATAAAATGCATTGTAGGAACTTTATACACAGGTTAGAGCAAAAGAGAAGGAAATCATGTATCTTAGAGAGCAAATTGCTCTTGCCAGTATACGAGTAAGAATTATGCTTTTGGGCTGTGGTATATGATATGTTTATTTTTTATGCATAACACGAATTGTAACTTTGTATATTATTGCAGGAATCACAGATGTTGAATGAAAAGTATACACTTGAAACAAAATTCTCTGAATTACGGATGGTTAGAGTAATATACACTATTTTGTTTACTCTCATTTAGTTTAGTAACCACCAGGTCATTGTGCTTTTCTTTTAATCGTTGTAAATATAACATGATAAATGAAAAGTTTATCCTGCTTGTAGGCTCTAGACGAAAAGCAAAGTGAAGTGATAGTTTCTGCATCAAATGAGCTGGCACGAAGGAAAGGTGATCTTGAAGTAAATTTAAACTTGCTTAATGAATTAAAGGTAAATACGTGGTTGAACCCATACACACTATCTGTTTTCTTTACTTAGTCTTGGCTTCTAGGTTGAGCAAGCATAATCCAGTATCAGCTACAATTTGATGGGACAGAAAAACTTGCATGGATTTAGTTTTCTACGAGATGTATTATGAGAGTAGAATGGGTTGTGATCTCTTATAATTGGGGAAAAGAAGTCTCTCTAGGTTGCAACTAGTGAGCCTCATGTTTCTTATTTGATGCAGTTAACCCGTTTTCCTTCAATAAACTTGTCCAGTTCTTCCTATTCTATCTTTATTAGTTTTTAATATTTCTTATGAACAATAAAATTGATTTGTTTGTCCATTTAATATATGTTAGCATTTCAATATTGAACTACCCAGCTTTGGCTAACCATTTAATTGTTTACTTCTTGTTCTTACGATTGTTGCTCCTATGGATTAATCATATTTAGCTTTCGCATGGGACAGGTTGCAGAAGATGAGAGACACATATTCACGTCATCCATGCTAGGTATATTGGCGGAATTTGGTGCTTTGCCTCATGTTACCAATGCATCTGCCTTAACCAACAGCATCAAAGTATGTAAGCCTTTTATCACGAACGACATTTTATTGTATTCTTGTGCATTTGATAGAACTATACCTCATATTTTCATGGGCCTTGTTTAGTTTTTCTCCTGGTGTTAACTGTTATTGTCTGAATTTTCAGTAGGTTATTATTAATATGCATTGAACTAACTAAAATGTTTGGCATTGTTTCTTGAAATTTACAGGATTTATAATAATTTGTCGCATTCATTGTTTTGAAGAGCCATTTTCAAAATGTATGAATCTAATGTTAGCGACTTCACAGTTGTGAGATTGATATTTTATTTGTGTTAAACACTTGCTTAAAATAAATTTGCTAGATATGTAGTTGGTAAACAAACATATATTGTTAACTGGTAGGTGAGTTTGAGGCCACTCACGGATAATTTACATGGTAGTAAAAGCATATTGATTAGAGTTTTTGGATAAATGTGGGTCCGTGTAAGTGGGAGAAAGGCAGTTTGACGTTTTCCCAAAACGTAGATCTGAAAATGAGGAGAAAAGGATTCTGCAAGTGTTTTAACTTGGGAAATGAAATAATGTTCAAACGAAAATGCATTAAACGTGAACTTGAAAAAAACAGGTGTAGAAAATCCCACTGAGATGAAAAACAATCGAAACCGAATCTTTTTAAGTTTGCAAGATTTGGGTAAGGATACAAGTTATGTAAACAGTTTTCTTTGTGATTGTCGCACGACACTGTTACACAAGCACCAAGGTAATCCTGTATCTAGTTACATATTTATGCATCTGGTGCTTTAAGTAGAAACATGGAGATTTATTCATTATTGTTATGTAGTCTCTTTAAATTTGTACAAAGTACAGATAAGTCTCTCTTTCTCTCTCCAATAATTACTTATTTTTATTTATGTTGTTCTTCATATGAATCATATGCATGAAGAAATATAATTTATGCTCTTCAAAAATCGTTTGCAGCACTTACATGATCAACTGCAGTTGAAGATAAGGACTTCACATGTAAGCTTGTCTCATTTAGTAGTGACAAAGGGCATCTTATCTTTCATCTTTTTTCTATTTTATCTACTTATCAACTATATATCATGCCTTCTGTAGTCTGAACATTCATATGTTTAGCGGAATGTAGACTGCTGATTCCAACTTAATAAATATTATGTATTCCACATAAGGTAATCAGCAAATATCTATCTGTGATACTTCATAAGGGTATGCGTGCAGCTTGTCAAAAAGGAAAAAAAAAAAAATTAAAAATCTAATAATAAAAAATTAAATGGGATGCGTGTAGCACACTAGTATGCACTTCTCTCTGAATATAAAAGTTGTATCGCACGTGCAAAGATAAAACTAGGAAATGAACGCCTCACTAAGAATACGGTTCTGGTGGCAGTTTGCTCAGCCTTTCTTAAAACTGTTATTTATAAACCAGTCTAGTTCAGAGCTTCATTAGGAAACTTGTAGTAAGGTTCATCCAAAGTCTGATTAGTAGTTGAATTATCATAAATCCTAGTCCACAATTCTTATTTATTCTTTTGCTATCCTTTTGTTGTGATTTTTGTTTATCCATTTTCTTAATACATTTATTTGTATCTTTTGCCTATCCTCATTCCAGGTATGTAGAATACTATTGATTAGCACATTTTCTTTAAAGCTGATAAAGAATCACTTTTATCTAGGCTAGGCTTGCAGAGGTAAATTCGATGATTGGATATAATTCCAGAAATGGTTTGGGTGATAAAGAAATTCCAGGTTTGGCTCCCAGTGGTGGCCAATTTCCTAGCACCTCTATGGTAATTGCTATAACTTTATTGTCTCCTATTTCAACCTTTGTTCAAACCTGAAGGGTCATGATGTCATTATGTACACATTTATTTAGGGAAAACATTGGTTACTAGTAATTTTTTAATGGGATCCCAATTTTTTATATTTACTTCAGCACAACATCACTTTACTGATTGTTGTATTTAGCATTCGATTTTTAGAAATATTATCGTGACCTTATAACATTGGTTTTACAGGGTGTGCGTGGACTTTCTCACTATAGCCAATACAATGATGGAAAAATTATGGATCCAGCTCATGACCCTTCAAGATATGTGCAAGAGAATGATTCTAAACAAGTCAAAAGTTTGACACGGAGTTCTGAGATGCGCCAGTCACCGAATAACGAGACTCTTTTAAGGACCTTACCTAACATTGATAGGTTGGCATGAATATTTTTGATTACATACCACTTTTTTAGTTTTTTTCTTCACGGTTTGTTGTTAAGATATATTTTTTCTTCACGGTTTTCTGTTTAGATATAATTATTTTTATGTGTTTTGGTTGGATTTTTTCCAACCAAAACAAAAAAATGGAGCTAGAAGAGTCATTGTTGACAATTCTCCTGGCATAATGCTAATAATGGACTAGATCAAAATGGCTCAATTAAATTCTAGTGCTTCTTCTATTAGTGAAGTTTCTAGAAAAAAAAAATATCAAACGACGCAATGCACCTTCGGTCGCTACGGAAACAGCCTCCTTGTATAATGACAAGGGTAAGGTCTGCGTACAACTGACCCCCCAGACCCAACCAGTTGGGAATATACTGGGTATGTTGTTGTTGTTGTTTTGGTTGGATTTTTTGATTTGGTTTGGTTAATTTTTAAAAGGTGGTATGGTTAGTTGTTAGTTAGTATATTAAAATAATATTCTAAATAGAATAATTAAAGTTGATTTGATGTAAAAGTAGGAGAGAGATGATTTAAAGTGATGGTTAGTTAAAATTATGTTAGTGGGTGAATATTGAATTAAGGTTGATGTGGTGTGGGAGAATGATATATTGATATTAATTAATTATTTTGATAATATTGATGATAGTGGGGGTGAGTTAAAGTTGAGTTAAAAAAGTAGGTGTGTTAAAAATGTTGGGATTTTTGTTAAAATATTTGTATCCAAGCATCCTCTTAGCACTTCTAGTTTAGCACTTCTTTGTATTGACATTGTGGTTTATAACAACCTATGACATTATTCTGTGATGTATAACTTAGTGATTGCTGGATTTCTGTGTAACCAAGTCTAGAAAATAGTTAAACGTACTTGTGAAGGCAGCTCAGTATTTTGAATAGAAAGAAGACTTGACTTCCCAGTAATTTATTAGTGCTACGTCTTGAGATGCACTTTATGATTTAAACGTGAGTTTGGTAATTCATAAAATATATGGAGGCTTGTGAAATGTGTTAATGGTTTAAATTGTTATGAACGAGAGCCTAAAAGAGCCCCTATGTACCAAGCGAGAATGGATGTAGTAACTGAAGAATATTTAGTATCATTCGTTTAACGTGGTGCACCGATTATACTAACGTGCTTTATCAATTTAGCAAGTGCAAAGTTTGATTTATAGCTTAACGCCACCTAAAGTTCTATTCAGCAGATTATATATTTGTTATGATCAAAACCATTGGTTTCCTCTGTCAAAAGTTAAATTTTATATTCGTGGCCCATGTAATTAGCAACTTTTGTACTGTTTTAGCAACATATGCTTTTCTTATATTGTTTCATGTGCTTTCCTTAATCTGTCACATCTCTCTTCATGGTTGCTTTGAAAATCCTTTAAATGAACCTGCCTTTCTTCACTCGTTACTCTAGTATTTGGATGGAAATGAGTTTGATGATCTTTCACCTTCTATTTCCAGTGATACCAATTTGTGATTCCTTAACAACATCTACCTCTCCATCTGTAGATCTCTTCTCACAAAAGCAGATGTTTTAGCGAACCCTTCCAAAATCATGGTGTATATCTTTTGTTTATAAGTATCTAATGCAATATCCATGCCTTTTTAATCAAAAAGGTTTTCACTAGCTCGAGTCCTTTGAGGTCTTGCCTATATTTTTCTTAATATTTCAGATCATCCGCTGAAGGTGAAAAATGTTACAACGCAAACTGAAAATTAATACAGAGGGTAAATGCTAGATTGACATTAGCTTATCTAAAGGGTTCCCATATTGATGTTGTAGCTTAGGACACCACTCTCTTTTAGGAAAACGCTTGATGTGTCATTAATTTAACATTTAACAAGTCATCCCTGAATGTAACTATGTGTAGCTTTTTTCTGTAATATCAACAGATAATAATGCTGTTGCTAAGAAGCTAGGACAGAATCTAAATTATTATTACGCCGGATTCCTAGATAACGACATCTTTGCACTTTTTTTGTCAGCTAATATAATGATTATACGAGTTTGTTTTTTTGTTAGACTTAGTTTTAATTTCAGTGTCAAGTATATTTATTCGTGCTGACAGATTAAACTTACAGACATGCTGCAAGCCGTATTATGGACAATATGCTCGAAAGAAATGGTTACCCGTCAGTATCTGAGCAAAGAAGTTATGATCAGTTTTCCCATCTTCCAATGCATGAAAATGCTGGTTCTTTTGGTGCTGAAGGTAATATGTTGTGTCGTATCTTGTAACAGAGTATGATGGCTTTCTGGTTTTGACAGTTCAATTTTTTTATATCCCCTATAGGAGACGGCCCTGGAATAGAAGGCTTTCAAATTATTGGTGATGCCAGACCAGGATGCAAACTTCTAGGTTGTGGGTATCCTGTACGTGGGACCTCTCTATGCATGTTTCAGGTAAAAGCAATGTTATTCGTCTTTACTATGATACTCACCTGGAGTCAGTTTTGCTTCTTTTTTTTTTTGCCCTTTTAGTTATTTACTCTTTTTATTTGCAACTTGCTTTGTATATTTTAGTGGGTTCGGCATAATCCAGATGGGACAAGGCAGTATATTGAAGGTGAGTGAAAAGATTGCTTATAGCTTTCAGCTATGGACTTCATCGACAATTCTTCGTTGTCTTTGGTTTATTATATCAAACATAATTCTTGACTCCGTAATAATAGTGTTCTTTTAGTAACGTATCTTATATTGTTTCTTAACCTTTTGTTACAGGAGCTACTAATCCAGAATACATAGTGACAGCTGATGATGTGGATAAACTTATTGCTGTAGAGTGCATACCAATGGATGAACAAGGACGGCAGGTATTTATTCCTGCATCTTCTGTGACTTTTAATGCTTTATCAGAGACTCTTAATGTATATTACCTTTTGGTTACTATCTTCAAATTTTATTGAAACAAATATCTTATAGTTACTACTTGAGGAAAGATATGAATCAGCTTAGGTTATAAAATATTTTGTTCGTAACACAATTATTATGTTTTTTTTTTTTTTTTTTTTTTTTTTTTTTTTTTTTT